TGTCCTGTTAGAGCCCGGGTCATGGGCAGCCAGGAAGGGAGAAGAGCAAATGCCCTAGGAGTTCCGTTCCCCATTGGGAGGACAGAGAGCGGTCCAGGAAGAGACTCGGGTCCCTTTCAGCATGGATAGGACCCTTGTCAGGACAGGAAAGCAGCCGCCCCCAGTCTCAGGGCCATTCCCATTGCCCACCCTTGGAGAGTTTTAGGCGTGAGAGTGTGTCAGGATGGGGCACTCAGAGGCTCCTAAGACAACCAGAGGTGTTCATAATCTTGTGTGAGTGTGCAGACAACAAAACGCCTGCAGAGACACCTAGACACACACGGACATATACACAGACACAACACATGCGTGCGCGCGCACACACATGCACAAACACACACATGCATATTCCTGGTGTTCGAGGCACCAACCCCATTCCCATCCTGCTCTTCTGTACCACACCCCACCACTCTCCTGCCGGGGTGGGGGTGATCAGCCCCAGTCTCAGGCAGCCCTGGTGCTGGCGCTGGGGGAGGGGCGTCCACAGCTCACCTGGGGTCACAGACACTACAACACGGAAGGTGAGGTCGAGCAAATATCCTGGGAGCCATGATGTATCGATCCCACACCGGTATGTTCCTGCATCACCTTCTGTGAGGTTCTCCAAGGTCACTGTAAAGGTGAGGTTTGCAGGATGGTTCCTGATGGACACCCGGCCGTTCCTCACTTCTTTATCTGACTTTTCAATCTTCACAATATCCCCCAAACATGGGCTCTTGCACCAGTATTTGGCAATGTCTCTGAATTTCTCCTCGTACTGACACTGCACGCTCAGGGATCCCCCCACGGTGCCCGTCACGGAGGTGGGGCCACTCAGAGATGAACAGCCTGGAAAACACAGCCGAGTGTGGTCCCTCACCAGATGGGCCTTTGTGAAGGGGATCTGGGGTCATGGTGACCCTGGAGTCCCCGAAGGGCCCTCACGGTCTGGAGGAGGCCTTGGCAGGAGACTGGCTTTTCCTGAGACCAGAGGGAGGGGATTTTTGCTCCCTCCTCACAAAGTGGCACAAGGAGAGTGTGTCCCTGATATGTGTGCATGTGTGTGTCTGTGTGTTTGTGTGTGTGTGTGATGCACCCAGACCTTGTTTCTGACTGTGACACCACAGGTAATGGTGGTCACAGGTGCCCAGCTCCTCAGGGCTGCTCTGTCCACTATAGTGGACATGACTCACCTGCTTTATGCACTGAATCCTCCTAGTCACTGCTGAGGCATGCTGGCCAATCCTAGAGTGTTCTCTGCTCTCCTTCCTCCTTCCCCCTGTCTCCCTCCCTCCCCTCAGGGCAGACTTCCCTGCCCAGGCTCAGCCCTACTCACCTGGGACCTGCAAAAGGAGCAGAGCTACAGGCAGCCACGGCCTTCTGTCCCCTGGGGTCATGTCTACAGCACAGACGTCACCCACAGCAATACCAGGCTCCTGAGGGGGGACAATTTCAAGCCTCCTCACAGAGGGTCCAGTCTCCACGACCCACTTCTGCTTTTTGAGGCCTCTTCACTTCCTCGTCCAGCCTGTGTTGGTCTCACAATCTTCTTCCGCATTGGCTCAAGCTGGTCAAGGTGCAGGAAGCTCGGGGAGAGGAGCACCACGGACTGAGGCAGAGGCCTGGGCCTGGTGCCCCGGGCTCCTCTCAATCCCAGTGACAGGAGAGCTCCTGGTCCAGGACTGGATTGGGATTGCTGTCTCCCTTCCACAGCCCACAGCTGCTCCTCTCTCTGTCCACACTCACCCCACACAATGGAGCTGCACTGGAGCATTTCCTCCTCAGTGGAGCTTCCTTACGCCCATGACATGTCACTTCCTTGTGGTCAGGATGGACCATGTCTGGGGTGGAGCCCCAGTAACCCATCTTCTCAGGCATCGGTGGTGCCTGCAGGGGTGTTAGGACCCCCCCAGGCTGCAGCTCCAAGCACCCACAATCCCCATGGGACCCCTGCTCTCCTCTGGCCACACAAGTTGGCACTGTGACCTCAGATACCTTCAAAGGTCCCATTAGGGTTTTGGGTTCCTAACCAGGGTACAAATCCCCCAGGCTGCGCTTCCCTCCTGTGTGTTTCTCTGTTCTCAAGACATGGACATGGAGCAGCCGTCACGAACCCCGTGAGCACCTCACATTTGACTCTTTCTTCTTTGGAAAGTCCACTCTACTGTGACTCGCAGGGCAGAGTACTGGCAATGGACAAGAGGGTCCAGAGATTGAAGGAGCTGATGGGACGATGGGGACATGTGAAGTTGAGGCTGGGCTTCTCCTCTCCATCCAGTGTCACAAGGGACCGTTGTGTTACAGGAGTGTGGTCTGCCAAAACACTGGCTGCTGGTGTCCCTTTTGGGTTCACAGTGGTGACCGGGGACCTCTTCAAAGTGTAGAGTTAGAGGATGGTCCTTGCCAGGAGGTGGGGAGGTTTTTTCTAACTCAGAGTTGCTCATTCTCATGACTTGATAGGTTTGGGGTGAGTTTACACTGGAAATGGTAGGGAGGCAGGTTAAGGTGCAGGGCCTGACATCTTGCCTGGGTCATGCCAGCTCCTCAACCTTGTCACGCACAACCAGGTCTATCAATTTCCCCCTAAACACTCTCTGCCCAGATCTGCTCCTCCTCCACACGATCTTATCCTGATCAAAGGCAACATTATTCCCAGAGTTATTGTAACCAGACCCTGTCACCCCAGATTCCTTTCTCTGCCACTCCCCATTAATATGCCTCCTAGCACTCTCCCCCTGCCCATATCCCTTCTTCCTCCTGACATTACAACCATCCTCTCTCCTCTCAGTGCAATGGTGACATCCCTGTTCTTCCCAATCCCCTCGTGCCTTGTCTTCCCTCTGTTCCACTCATCAGCAAGAGAGCACGTCAACAAAAGTCAGGAGTAACCAGTACACCCTTTGTCCCCCACTCTTCAGGTGAAACCCACTCTCCTTGCTTGGCTTACATGGCCTGAGTGGGACCAGCCAATCACGGGTCTGCATTTCTATCTTGCTCCCCCACCTCAATGCGCCCCCTGCTCCAGCCACAGTGCCCATCCTTGGGCCCTCCTTAGCACCTGCTTGTCCCTCTCTTTGGATCCTTTGTCCACCTCTTCTCACTGCTTATTCCTTCTTACTCTTTAAATTTCACCTTGGATGCCACTTCCTTAGAAAGGCCTCCCTGATCACTCTTCCTAGGAGTTACCCTGTTGTCTCAATCACCAACCCCTTTTCACCATTTGTTTCCTCCATAGTTCAGCAAACCTTGTTAGTATGTTTTCTTTTGGTGGGTTCTATCCATATCTCCCACCAGGATAGAGCTTATATCATAGCAGCAATCTAGGTCTGTTTTATTCATCCCAGAATGACCTGGTGCCCAACAGCAGTATGTGACAAATGGTCGGCTTATGATAAATATTTACTGAATGAACAAATGAGTGATTGAGTGAATGAATAAAGACTGAATTGGGCATGGAGCACTGGGTGTTATGCACAAGCAATGAATCATGGAACACTGCATCAAAAACTAATGACATAATGTATGGCGATTAACATAACAATAAAGCACTAAAAAAAAAAAACGACTGAATTGGCTGCAGACATTGGCCCTAGGCAACTGTGGTCCAACGAGATTTGATATCTATCACAGAATAACAAATTCCCCCAAAACTTAGTGGCTGAAAACAATAAACATTTATTTTCTTACACTTCCTGAGGGTCACAAGTTGTGGTCAAGATGTTTACCAGGCTATACTCATCAGAAGGCTGCACTGGACTGGAGGACAATTTTGCCTGTTCATCTTGTATCCCATGACCTGATGAACTCACATCTTAGTTCTATGAGGTTTTGTAGATTGCTTGAGATTTTCTACATAGACAATTATGTCATCTGCTAAGAGGGACATTTATTCTTCTTTTCTTTTATCTACGCCTTTATTTCTTTTTCTAGCCTATTGTAATGGCCATAATTTCCAGTGCTAAGGTGAATAACAGTGGTGAGAGTGGGCATCTCTGCCTTGCTCAGGACCTTAGAGAGAAAGCATTTAGTTTTTCATCATTAGGTATAATGTTGGCTGTATTTTATTTTTAGATGATCTTCATCAAGATGAAGAAATTACTTCTAATTTTTATGAGTTTCTTTTTCATCGTGAGTGGGTGTTAGAATTTGTCATATGTTTTTTCAGTGTCATTTGATATGATCCTATGATTTTTCTTCTTTAGTTTGGTATTATGGATTACAGTGATTGATTTTTCAATGAAGAACCAGCCTTGTACATATGTAATACACCTCACCCCATCATGCTGTATAATTCTTTGCTGGATTCATTTGCTGATATTTTGTGGAGGATTTTTGTGTCTATGTTCGTGAGACATACTGGCCTTTGTTTTTTTTATACTGTTTTGGTCAGGTTTGGTGTCAGGATAATGCTAGCTTTATAAAATGAATTGGGAAGGGTTCACTCTGATTCTTTCTTCTGGGATAGATTGTGCAAAATTGGTGTTAATTCATCTTTAAATGTTTATAGAATTCTCTAGTGAATATGGGCCTGAATATTTCTTTTTTCGATGTTTTAAAATCACATATTTCATTTCTTTAATGGTTATTGGACTTCTAGAGTTTATTTATTTCACCTTGGTTGAGTTTCTGTAGTTTGCAGCTTTTAAGACGTTGGACCATTTCTTCTAAGTTGTTAAATTTATTAGTATAAAGTTGTTTGCACCATTTTCTTATCATCCTTTAACGGTTTCAGGATCTTAGTGATACCCCCAGTATTATTTGATAGTGGTGATTGTACTTTCTCTCTTCATTTTTGTCAACTTTTCTAGAGTTTATCATTTTATAATTGTTGTTTTTTTATTTATTCTTTTTAAAGATTTTTTGTTTATTTATTTGACAGAGAGACAGCGAGAGCAGGAACACAAGTAGGGGGAGTGGGAGAGGGAGAAGCATGCTTCCCCCCAAGCAGGGAGCCTGATGAGGGGTTCGATCCCAGGACCCTGGGATCATGACCTGAGCTGAAGGCAGACGCTTAACGAATGAGCCACCCAGATGCCCCTGTTGTTGTTTTTTTAAAGAACTGCATTTTTTTAAAATTTATTTTATTATGTTATGTTAGTCGCCATACATTACATCATTAGTTTTTGATGTAGTGTTCCATGATTCATTGTTTGCATATAACACCCAGTGCTCCATGCAGTACGCGCCCTCCTTAATACCCATCACCTGGCTAACCCATCCCCCCACCACACTCCCCTCTAAAACCCTCAGTTTGTTTCCCAGAGTCCATAGTCTCTCATGGTTCATCTCTCCCTCCGATTCCCCCCTTCATTTTTCCCTTCCTTCTCCTAATGTCCTCCATGCTATTCCTTATGTTCCACAAATAAGTGAAACCATATGATAATTGACTTTCTCTGCTTAACTTATTTCACTTAGCATAATCTCCTCCAGTCCCATCTATGTTGATGTAAAAGTTGGGTATTCATCCTTTCTGATGGTTGAGTAATATTCTGTTGCATATATGGACCACATCTACTTTATCCATTCATCTGTTGAAGGGCAACTCAGCTCTTTCCACAGTTTGGCTGTTGCGGACATTGCTGCTATGAACATTGGGGTGCATACGGCCCTTCTTTTCACTACATCTGTGTCTTTGGGGTAAATACCCAGTAGTGCAATTGCTGGGTTGTAGGGTAACTCTATTTTTAACTTTTTGAGGAACCTCCACACTCTTTTCCAAAGTGGCTGTACCAACTTTCATTCCCAGCAATAGTATAAGAGGGTTCCCTTTCTCCACAACCTCTCCAACATTTGTTGTTTCTTGCCTTGTCAATTTTTGCCATTCTAACTGGTGTAAGGTGGTATCTCAATGTGGTTTTGATTTGAATTTCCCTGATGGCTAATGATGATGAACATTTTTTCATGTCTCTGTTAGTCATTTGTATGTCTTCTTCGGAGAAGTGTCTGTTCATGTCTTCTGCCCATTTTTTGACTTGATTATTTGTTTTTTGGGTGTTGAGTTTGAGACATTCTTTATAGATCTTAGATACCAGCCTTTTATCTGTAGCATCATTTGCAAATATCTTCTCCCATTCTGTAGGTTTCCTCTTTGTTTTGTTGACTGTTTCCTTTTCTGTGCAGAAGGTTTTTATCTTGATGAAGTGCCAAAAGTTTATTTTGCTTTTGTTTCACTAGCTTTGGAGATGTATCTTGAAAGAAGTTGCTGTGGCCGATGTCAAAGAGGTTACTGCCTATGTTCTCCTCTAGGATTTTGACGGATTCCTGTCTCACATTGAGGTCTTTCATCCATTTTGAGTTTATCTTTGTGTATGGTGTTAGAGAATGCTTGAGTTTCATTCTTCTGCATGTGGCTGTCCAATTTTCCCAGCACCATTTATTGAAGAGACTGTCTTTTTTCCATTGCATGTTTTTTCCTGCTTTGTTGAAGATTAGTTGATCATAGAATTGAGGGTCAATATCTGGGCTCTCTATTCTGTTCCATTGGTCTATATATCTGTTTTTGTGCCAGTACCATGTTGTCTTGGTGATCACTGCTTTGTAATATAGCTTGAAATCGGGCAATGTGATGCCCCCAACTTTGTTTTTCTTTTTCAACATTTCCTTGGCAATTCAGGGTCTTTTCTGATTCCACACAAATTTTAGGATTGTTTGTTCCAGCACTTTGCTCTGGGTAGCATACACATTTTTAAAATGGTTATTCTTCCAATCCAGGAGCATGGAATATTTTTCCAACTTTTGGTGTCTTCTTCAATTTCTTCCATGAGTGTTCTGTAGTTCCTAGAGTATAGATCC